AGGAAAAAAAATAAACTTAAATGATTTTAGCAAATGGCTGCAATATAACAAAGAGTGAAAAATGTAAGAGGGTCTGAATACTTTCCGTACCCACTGTATATATATATATATATATATATATGCAAACCTTTTCAAATTAGCATCATACTACTGAATGCATCTTTAAGATGCAAAAGGTATCCGTAGACATTACTATATCAATTATATTCGAATTTTATAGTCATGAAATTGGAGTAGACCATTTTTGTCATTATGACATTAAGAGGGTAAGATAATCTTAATTAATTTTTGCATTCAATTAGCATGTAGCTAGTTTTTTAAATAATTAGCAAAGAGATCTGAAATGTATGTTTAACTCATTGAACTATTTAATAATAACACTCAAATTCTGCACACATTCAAAAATCACTGCCTGAAGAAGAAGCGTTGAGCTGAAATTTGATTGGCTGATCAGCTGTCACATGCTAACCTTGGGCTTCATCATGTGTTCACTGAGCAAGACCACGTCATGGGAACATTTCAATCTGATCCTCACATAAAGATGTCACATGACTTCACAAGAGTTACTTTTGTACTGTTTATATAGACAATCACTTTGCAATAATACATTGATGTGACTGTATTTTTATCTTCCTGTTATCTGTAAATTGTACAATTGTAACAATTTGTGTATAAAATTGTACAATAACAAAGAGATATATAAATGTATATATAAGATATAGAAATATATGGCTAAAATTAGTTAGGTGAGTAATAGGCTTTAGTCAGGATTAGGGTTTCAAAGGGGTGGAATATTTCTGGTAAATTTCCGGAAACTTAAAAAAAAAATCCCTGGAATATTCCAAAAAATCCTGTTAAGTTTCCACATTTTGCAACCCTACACTCTTAAAAATAAAGGTGCTTCAAAAGGTTCTTCAAGCGATGCCATAGAAGAACCATTTTTGGTTCCACAAAGAACCATTCAGTCAAAGGTTCTTAAAAGAACATCTCTTTCTTACCTTTTTATAATCTGAAGAACCTTCTTTCGCCCCAAAGAAGCTTTTGTGAAGCAGAACGGTTCTTCAGATGTTAAAGCTTCTTTATGGAACCATTCAGACAAAAAGGTTCTTCTATGGCATCGTGAAGCACCTTTATTTTTAAGAGTGTAGTCAGGATAATTGCTTTTGAAAAGAATGAAAATGAGGCTTGAGGGACTGAAGTACAGAGCGTTCAGTGGATTGTACTATAGTTTAACAACTGACTTAATGTCTTTCCAAAGAAAAAAACCTTCATAAAACAGTTTTGTAAGTTGTTGTAAAAATGACATGATCTATGACCTTTATCCAGTGCGTGCCATTGTAAAGTCTGTAAGTCTGTCCCTCACAGCCTCGCTTTCCTCCGCGCTAGATTCAATATGGCGTCTAAACTGATTAAGCCCTGTTAAAAACAATGGATTTCCCAGTTGATATAGCGACATATTCACTAATTAATACTCGCATGCAAAGCGCTTGACCATGCTTTAATGCCTTGGGAGTAAGAATAAGGCGTCATTTAAAACGACCCTTTGTTATTGTACACATTTTTTGGATCACTGGCATGCTGGCTAGTTTATACCTTTTTTTCTTATTTAGTAATTTGTTTTTCAACATCTTGACTGTCATAAAAAGTATTGCATGTGTTTATCATTATATTTTTATTAATTCCTCTCCAGGTTATTTTCTTCCACTACTTAAACATCTAATGGCGTTGTTTCCTTGTGAGAATTACCTTTGCCTTGCTCTCTGGCTGCTGTAAGCCGACACAGCACAATATTCTGTAAAGCTGCTTTAACACAAACTGACTTGTCTTGGATTGCCAGATAGAGAGACTCTCATACCTGAATGGGCCATCAGGTTAGTGTCATTGCCCGTCCCATCTATGTTGTAAATAACCACCGCCGAGGCTCCTTGTCGCTGGGCAGCACGTATCTTCTGTGAATACGTACAGTTCCCTTTTTTTATCAGGGCAATCCATGGCTGGTGTTTCGCGGTGAAAGTAGTGTTCCTCGAGCACGCCAGAGGATCTGAATTTGGAAGCACAAGAAGCCCAGAAGCTGAATCCAAGGGTGAGTCGGCTCCAAACACAATACGTACAGTTCCCTTTTTTTATCAGGGCAATCCATGGCTGGTGTTTCGCGGTGAAAGTAGTGTTCCTCGAGCACGCCAGAGGATCTGAATTTGGAAGCACAAGAAGCCCAGAAGCTGAATCCAAGGGTGAGTCGGCTCCAAACACACCACACTCACATATACTGCCCACAGTTTCATTAGATACGCTGTCAAAGTATCTGACTTCAACATAGGCAGTCCAGTAAATCAAGGAAGCGCTAAGTTGGAAGCAGCACTGGAAAACAAACACCGACAGCCAGATACATGAACGTCCATGTACTGCTCTAAGCTTCAGGTTGGCTTTCATTGTATCAGGTACACACGCCTGTGTTTTGGCATTACTCTGTGGCCATCGATAGTAATCAGATGCCTTCTTGGTGGTAATATAAGATGTTTTTTACGTCAGGTGAGGTGTTCTTATCGCAGTGGACCTTGGACACTGGTTAAGATAATATTCATTTCAAAGGGTTGGGTTTTAGTACTTTGTTTCAGGAAACTGCTTCTACTTTAAGCCCTCTGTAGGAACTCACGGTCAGTTTTACCAGCTTGAATTTTTAACACCATTTCCCCCCAATTGTTCCTTATTTTGGAAGCAAACATGAGAATTTTAGGTAACACTATTTTGATAGTCTACTTTAGACATGCTACTAACAGTAAGCAACTTTGACACTACATGTCAACTAGCAGTTATTAGAGTATTAGTAGACTGTCTGCTTAATATCTTCTAACACTTTATTTTGATGGGTCCACAACATA